GCTATTTTAACTTGAAAGTCTTTAAAGGACATCTTCCAGCCAGAGCTGACATTGGAAAATTACAGAGAAACATGTCAGATATATTTATTTTTCTCCCAATATGTTAGATTTAATGAGCCCAAAGTTTTGTTTTATCTAATCTATTAGCTATAGCAATTGAATATTCCATGATTACTTACCCTTATTCAGTTCAAAAAAGTGACAATATATTAAGAAGCCTCCATCTCTCAGCTAAAGAAAATTATCTACTCAGCTTTAGCATTCAGCTTCACAAAAGAAATATGATCTTGAAAACACAGCTTCTCTATCAACTATCTTTTATTTTGCTTTTATTAATGCTCAAGAACCTTTATCTTCCTAATTTTGTTCTGTGTTCAGCCGCAGTAATCAATTTTTCAAATATAATGACAATAGTGATGTACATGTAGAAAGGTTGATCTGGCCCTTTCTAATAACTTTTGCCATGCTTAATCTTGTTAAATAGCTTCCTATACTTGTATTACCCACAAGCAGTGAATAGTTATACAACAATGAAAAATTCATTTATAAAATTTGCAAAATTACTATATTTAAAAATAACTTTTTTAGTATTCATCACTTCACTAACTACTTATACTAACCATAGTAATTTTGTAAAGATTTCATGGGATATATCTTAAAATTTCACTCATCTGCCTTGATCTGATATCAACTAAAGATAATTACAGCACTAAATTCTATGCCAGTGTATGGTTTAAATGCACAGGAAAATATAATTCACCCTCATAGTTTTAATAATCGCCAATACACTTGAAATACACACACATTGAGTGTTTTGATTTTGAACTAAATTTGAAACCACTCTGCCTTATAGGCTTACCTAAAAATATCCATATGTACTTCTGGAGTATACCGCTTCCAAGAAAACTTTAGCAACAAGCCACTTGTTTTGAAAGATACTAAAAATAAGAAAATATTTGGTAGTAGTGAGCTACTAATATTTATATGTGTACATGACGGTGTATATATGTTTTGCCTTACTTTTGTTTTATGAGTAATATGATTAGAAGAATGTAGTTCAAAACTTCATCTTGACTGTAGCATACAAAACATCTTAAACAGAGTTGTTACCATGTGGAGCCTGATGACTATCCACAGAATCCAGATTTGAGGATGCAGAGGACTAAACCTGAGTGGTATTGATAGAAATGAAAAAGCAGAAAAGCACTTAAAACAGACTTATAAAGAAGAATAAAAAATAGCCTTTGATTGCTTGGCTGGAGGGATATGCTAAGTACAGGAATAGTTTTCAAGCCTAAGGACTGGGAAAATGACAGTATGATTCAGAAAGATTGAATTTTGGATTCTCCATGGAAAACCAGACTTACCCAGTTTCAGAGAACGATGAAGGGTTAATAGCAAAGATGTGAAATAACAGATTTGGCTGGCAACCCTTATAAAACATCCAATAGTGGGATATAGGTGTGAGATTGCAATGCATATTCCTAGAGGCCTCTTAACCAATACTAGTTGTCATTTTTCTTTGAATTTCCCATCAGCTAGCATGGAACTAGGCATGGAGTTTATGCTCAGTAAATGTTGTCTGACTGGCAGCTGATTGGCTGATTTATTAAAGACTTAGGGAACAACTTCATAAGGAAAACAACTAAGATATGCATGTGAACAAATATAACTTTGGGGGGTAGGGGGGAAAAAAGAAGCATGAGAACCAAGTCTAAAAGAATAAATATATTGAAGCAGCAAGAGAAAAAAAAGAAGTAGATAAAAAAGGCAGGTCAAGTCACAGAGACAAGAAGCAAATACAAGAAGCAAAAAGATGAGGTGACGTAGGAAAACAAAAGGAAGAGAAGGCATAGGGAGAAGAGGAGGGAGAAGAGAAAAAGAAATGGAAAGAGAAAGCATAAATAAGCATAGGATTGGAAGCAGCAAGGAGAGATAATGCCATATCTATAAAGACTCAGAATATATGGATGAAGAAATTACAAAGTCACATTTAGTGAGCAAAACTGAGAAGCAGTAAAATGTTTCCTTAATAACTTAAAGTAAATAAATGAATAGCTACTGTCAGACTGATTCATTTGTTGCATCTGGGTACTCAATAAATGTTAATTGAATTAAATTAATAACATTTGCGCAGCAGTAATAAAAAATTAATTAACTGTCTATCTTTCTGTTACTTAGCTTATGCCCGCTGGTTCTTGCAATTACTTCTAACCCAAACATGAATTTTCTATTTCACTGATTTTCAAGATATACTTTATTTCTTATCTAAGAACCATAGATGCGCTCCTAATTTTTTTCTGTTAAAAATTATTTTCTTTGAGTTAATGTCAAAAACTATGTATAACATCCCAAATATAGTTTCACAAGTTCCTTATTTAATTCCAAAACAGTTTTCTCTCCAGAAGACGTGATATCACTTTCTATGTGTTACTCCTTTTAGCTTATGCTACTTTATAATACTTTGGATACAATGTCAAGCAACACTGTAAAGGCAAAAATCTGGATAAATTATTGTTAGTAGCCCATCTACAAAAAATGGACGATTTCAGTAACGTTTACCAAAAATTGTGACTTGCTTTAGAGGTCAGAATTCTGGATTGAACAGACTGGTTCTCAAATGTATGTATGTCAGATGATTTTTTAATGAACAACAGATAGCTGACACTGGAGAATGAAAAAAATATATAAATATAAACAGAGTTACATAATTAAAATAACTTTATGAATGGCAGTTCAACTTGTCCATAAAATTCTCTCAATACAAGCCTAGTGTGCTCCAAATGGAGCACATCGCTTCACTTACATTCAAAATGCTGTACTTAAAATTGTTGCAAAATTAAAAAGAGAATCATGCATCGCTTGGATGTATGCTGTATTCTCTGCATGTTCTTACATTCCAGTAACCTCTATCCAATTCTTTCAGTTATTACTTTGTGCAAAAATGATTCAAATTACATGCAGCCTGACTATGTGTGATCATTTGAACTGATTGTTAATTAATCTCTTAAGTAAATAGCTGCTGCAATCTTCACCTTCATCAAGGTTGCATTTTCTATTGGCTCCTGAGCTGCTGGTACAAAACAGCTGTAGCTGAACAGGCAGGATTCCCTGAGTGTGCAAGAAGCTGGTTCTGCTTTGCAAACACCATTCAGGAAAATAGAGGCCTGTCAAACTAAGTTATTTGCAAGTCTGGATTTCGGGACACATCTCAGGATTTTAGAGTACAGAGGGTGATGTGCATTCTCAGCAGTTAGGAAGCTGAGATAAAAGCTAAGAATAAGTGAGAGATACGTTGAATAATGTGAAAGATAAGAACTCAGCTGTTGGAATTCACTAGCTCTAGGTTTGAATTCCAGTTCTAACACTGACCAAAGAAGAATCTTTGGGCAACTTATTAAATAAGTTCTCTAAACCTTGATTACTATCATTTATTAACTGGAGATACCAATTTCTAACATTCCTTTCTTTTCAAGGAAGCTAACAGTATGTACATCCTCTAGTCTTTGATATGCTTATGTTCAACAATGTATATAAGTGGTAATAGAAATAGGCATAAAATATATACAATTAATACACATGTATTTATGCACATATGTGCATGCACACATGTGTGTGTAAAGCAACAATTTATAACGGTGGTTTTGTACCACTGGAAAAATAGATACAACAATGCCTACAGATGTCAAAATGTATGTCATAAATTAAGTATAGCCCTATTCAGTCTGGTCATCTCTCTAACAAGATTTCATAGAATTTTGTTTCATATACTTCTATGTACTGAAATTTATGCAGTTACTTCTTCCCTAACCTGTTTGATGCTTAAGAAGGTCAGGAACAATTCCCGTTTCAGGCACCACTACACACCAATACCAAGTGCCTGTTAGTAACTGACTCCAAGTTATTTTGTGGTATTCAGGAATGAATACTGCATCTCTAAAATACATGAATTATACGGACCTCATCAGCCTTTTCTATGCCTTTTTAAACCACAGTCTTGACCAGGGACTTTGCAAGAAGCTCTTTGAACAACTATAACAATTGTGTCAGGTGATTACATAGAATAAAGTATATTCTCGATACCAAATAAGCAGCTATCAGAGCCTGAGAAATGGGTAGCAATTAAGTATCATTGAGGTTACAAATAAGTTTATAGACTATTCATCTGTATTGTGGTTTGTGTCTAGCTTTTCCCCCAAAGCCTCGTTCAGTCACAGGACTTTTTCCAGAGGTGGCAAAACCTAGAGTGTGTGATGCTGGGATTAAAGGTTTGTGATTGATAAATCAGCCCACTAACTGGTATGGAACCATCCTAATCCCAGCATTCTGGATAAGATAAAAAGGGCAGAAAGAGGCTTTTAAACTCCCTTGTGTTGCTTTTGCTGACTTCCACTGCCATGAGGGGCTGTTCTTCTGACATGTATCACCCTGTCTTGTAGCCAATTAGTGACTGAAACCACTACAAAATGCAAGCTAAATAAACCTTTCTACATTGAACCTTAAATGTCATGTATTTTGTCCCAGCAAGAAGAAAAGAGAATAAGTATCTACTTTTTTGTATAAAGTGGAAGAAACTGACATTTGTAGAAACAAAAATAATAATAAAGTGATTTGATTATGATCACATAAATTACTCAGCAGTACATCACAGTTCTAGGACACCTTTCCTGCTTCTCAATGTTAGAACCGCTGGGACAGAACATGGGAAACATTCTATGAGATGTTTTTGATATAGGTGAATGAATTCCGTGATTCTCCCCACTCATAATCAAAAACCTATTGTAGAAATATGTATTATAGGCAAAACTTGTAACATGAGTCAGATTTTGCAGTTGTTGTCTTCTAATTCTTCATAATTATTCTGCTCAATAATTCATTACTTTAATAAAATTTTGTTTTTATCAAATCTAGAATGTGAATTTTTCTAAGGCTTTTTATTTTTCTATCACTATGTAATCTATAGTGGGTTTGTATATGTGTGTTTTCTTTTTTTCATCTAGATTTGCAACTCACAAATGAAAAACATGCAGATGAGAAACCCATTAATGCAATCGTTATAAATTCTGTATCCGAATTCAGTATCACAGATGGACCAGCTAAGGAAACCTCCAATGAGAAAAAACTGTCAGAATCCAGCACATCACTGTCCTCCCTTAAAGAATGCCAAAAGAAATTTTCCTACCTCCAAACTGATACTTCAGTTCATCAGAGAGACACTGACGGTATGTTTCTCAGAATTCAACCCATCTCTAAATAAAGCTCCCCAAACCCCAGTCCCTGTAAAATCACCACATATGCTGTTAGGAAAAAAAAAAAGACTTTATGAATATTAAACAGTATGACTTCGATTTGAAAACCTTGGTGAATGACACATGTCAAGGTCACTTTGCAGTTATGAGGTGCTTGGCAGATTGTTTGCTCTCAAAACAGGGAATCAGAGGCAATGTGTTTTAAATAGCTTGAGTGGAGCATAATCATTCTTGTATGGAGCTGTGAAGAAGATAAATAAATGTGACAAAGTTCTTACTCTTCTCATATATTGAACTATTCAGTTTGTGGCTCTAGGAAGACAGGAAAAGAAGATAGAGTAAAACTATATTAAAATACTGGAATACAGGAATATAAACCATATAAAATATCAAGATGCTTACATCAGCAATGTTTGAAAAAGTGTTGGTTTCTCTAGATACTATTACTTTCTAGGCAATCCGGTCAGTACCAATCTAGGTCAAACTGTGCCATCTACGACATAAAGAGACACTCCATTTGCAAAGCCAATTTCAAGTTGACTTGGTGCTAAATGATCAAAATCAAGCCCAAAGCCATGGACTCCACACTATGCCATATGAAATGCGATTCAGTTAACTGTGCAATGACCTTTATGGGAAAAACAAGCCACTCAAGAGTTTTGTAACATTCAATATACACATTTGCATTTAAAGAAGCCCTAGAGTTTGTAAAGGAAAATGTAACAGGGTATTATTGTTTTCTGATCTGAAATACATTCACATTTAACTTTAAAAATAAGAGAAAAAAATAAACTTTGTATAAAAGCACCCTTGGGGTCATATCAGTTTAGCTCTTGCCTCTGAAATTAAGTTTTAAGACAGTAACTGTACAAGTTTTGTTTTCATCAGTTGCATTTTGAATCTCAGGCTCTCAGTTATATAATAGAGCTAGAAGCACACCAGGAGACATTCTGAGGATCAAATAAAATAACAAGTGTAAAGCCCCTAACACAAAAATTGGCACATAGTAGAAACTAAATTTTATGTTATTCTGCGACTAAAGTCTTGGAAAGGAATCCTTCTAACAAGCTGTAAGTGTGGTTTCATGTGCAAACGTTGGCATGGACGCTTTAGATTAGAAACTACAGACCTGACTACCTATACTTTCCAGTAGAGCATATGAATAATGAAGTGAACTGGAAATGGAAAACAGACTGGTGAGTGTGCATGTCTAAAGGTCACCGCATCTACCTACCTCCGCTAGATTGTTGGCAGAGGAAATGCAGACTTAAGAGTTGCCTCTTGAAGCTTTCTAAGAATAGCTAGAGGTTAGGATTGTAATGTGAAATTTCTAAAATATCTACTGTTGATAGTTTATTCTATTTATTGAAGGGAGCCCAAGACACTCCCAACAATGTATCTTTGGGCTACCATTGGCCTATATGCTCCAGCCTTAATCTGGGATGATTCTTAAATGTCCAGCTTTTATACAGATTAATGCCAAAAGCAGGCAATGCATTCTCTGAAGAATTCTCTGAAAAAACAGTCTGACACTAGAGTATTTCACTAAACTGTGCTAGTGATGCATAGCTATTGTTCATCTTGTGCATCAGGATAATAAATCTAGAATTTGGAATTTCTGTTCTTTATACCCATACATGAAAATACAGTGTCTTGTAGAATCACTCCAATCTGTTTTATGAGAGATCCTGAGAGAAGTATAACAGGTCAGGTCTACTAATATGAAATCTAGGCATTTGTGTTCTCAGGGAACAACCAACATGAGTACTTCATTAAAATGCTTAAGAGATTCATGCCAAAAAATAACACATTACTCTGATCAAAAAAGCGAAGAAGTCCAGGTGTGGTGGCACATGCCTATAATCCCAGCACTCAGGAAGCTAAGGCAGGAGGATTACTGTGAGTTTGAGGCCAGCCTGGGTTATATAATGAGTTGAACTTGATTTAGGAAGTTCAGGTCTTAAACTGATGGTATAGGTCAGGGAGCAACATTGTTTGCTCCCCTTATAACAGATTTCCCTAGTGAAAGAAGAGAGTTTGGTACCTGGATAAAAGACAGAGTAGAAAACCCAAGTAAGAACTACAAAGAGTGACACAAAGCTCTCATTATCTGTCCTAAACAGCAAACATAGAGGAAATCAAGAGTTAAATCAGCCTTGCTCCATTTTAGAGAATTTTTGATAGCAATTAATTTAAGGATGCAGAAATTGAGAACTGGGGTCATTGTTCGTACTGAGATAAATACAGAAATATCTTTCAGGAACAGCAGGGAAAACAGAAGGGAAAAGAGAAGATTGCATCCACTTTCATGTAGTTTGTGGTTAATTTATCTTCAAATGTATAAATGAGTGCATAGGAATGGATGCTTAATTGCTAATATCTATTATTTATATACATTGCCCCACTTAAAACAGGATGAAAAAGCCTCACACATGCAGATTTTGTAAAATGTGTTGCATCCATTAGCACAGTTCACGGTGTGTGCTCTGATGGGAATTTAAAAGGAACTTTACTGCACATCACACACTATGTGCTGCAACATTATTATTAAATTGTGGCTCATCATGTGTGGCCCCCCTCCCAATAAAATGGAAAAAGTCCAGAGAACCCTGCACCTGCTTCTGATTCTACAGTCTTCTGATTGCAAAAAAAAAAAACACCCCTGTGGATTTTTTTAAAATCAAGATACACATGATATCACCAAATAAGTTCCTTAAAATAATTCTGAGAATATGCCTAATTAATGTATAATTTTGAATTTGAGACTTCTCATCCAGGTGGAAAAAGAAAATCATAAATACAAGATACCTCAAAAGAATAGTCTTAATTATGCCATGGACTACTGAATAAAATGATTACATTTTTTACACTATAAATTTCATACAATTAAATGCAGTCGTGTCACCTTATAAAATGTTTCAATTTTATAATTATTTCAGTTCATTTGCTCAGAAAAAAACATAAGCACAAATTTACCAAGTATCACCCAAATCTAGTCATTCAAGTTTTAAAGAACTGACTTGGATGTTAGTTGTGCTTGTCTGAACTTAAATAGATTTTGACATATTTAAATAGCTATTAAAATTGATAACATCGGGAATGATACTCTAGCTAGAGAAAGGCATTCAGTCACACTTTATTTGTTCCCATTCTACATTATAGACATATTTTTGAGAATTTAATGTTTGAGGAATGAGAAATAATTTTTATACTTGTGAACCAAAAACTTTTAAGAATCATCAGTGAGTCACTGAGCTCATGATGATATTAAATTCCCCAGACAGCACCTGAAAGCCTTAGAATACTGGGTTTGGGTCAGATTCATCTGGACTTTTGTATACTTGGTTCATTTGATTTTATATACTGTGGACAGAATCCAGGACTTTTGCATTAAACTACATCCCCAGCCCTTTTTATTTTAAGACAGCATTTCCAAAGTTGCTAAGTTGCCCAGGTAGGGATCAAACTTGTGATCTTTCTGCCTCAATCTCCCAGAAGCCTATACATATACCACCCTAGATCTGGCTTCTTTTTATTTATTTTTATCTTACTTTGTGTTTGGGGGAATTTTTATTTATCTGAGATCACTGCTGCAAGAACCGTAGTTTCGCTGCTCTAGATAAGGATCCTCACGGTACCATAGGGTATGTTTCTAAACTTGAATGATGTTGAAAGAGTTACAGTTAGCAACTATAGATGCCTCTAGTCTTTTTTCCTCCCCCTCATGGCTGGGTTGACCTCATGGTGGTAAGCAACAGAGCTGCTAGTAGAGGAGAAGTTCAAGGAATACAAAATTGTGATAATGAAGCTGACCTTGGGTACATCTGCGGAATTTCTTCGCATTGTTATCTATTCTGCCATAATTAAACTTAATTCTTTCTCATGAGACAGATTCTCCCTCTTAATTAGCCAACCCCCAGTTGTACATTTAGCACCTCTGGAAGCGGTGTTAATTCCTCAGTATCATTAGGATATTATCACTTAGCACATTATAACCTTGCTATCCTAAAAGTACCCCACAGGTGTAGAAAGGAAATGGAGCAACCCTAGGGCTTGGGGAACTTTGTCCTAGCTTTCTGATGACAGGAAAATACCACTTTGGGCTCTGTAGCGTCCATATCTCCGATTCATCTTATACCACGTTTATTCCAGGTTTTAGAAGTAGAAAAGCCAGATGTACACTCTGACAGCAGAGATTAGAGCCACTGCTAGAGTGCCAGGTGCCCAACAGAGGACTTCTTGTATGAGGAACTTGTCATTAAGTTGCTAGAAAAGCTGAAAAGCCAAGTATAGAAAACTCAAAACCTAGCAACCACAAGAAGAGTCTATCCTACTTCCCTGTATTCTTCTAGAGCATGAAGAGATTGTTACTACTGTTACTAGCTTTATATCAATGGCCAGTAACCATCCCTAAAGAGAGCACTAGTGACTGTCATTATCCAGAGCCGTGGGGAACAGGCTGCGCAGGCATACACATAGAATGAGAAGGCCTGGACACCGCCTAAGCAGCAGGAAGATGGCAGGAGAACCAGGCTACGCTTCCCTCCATCCCAGCCTCCTGGTTCCTGTTATTGCTTCCTACTGGCAAAAACCACTAAGAAAAGCTGAAGAATACTTTGTCAGCCTTCAGAACACAGAGCAGTGAAGGGAGAGGAAAGGGGGCAGGCGTTCAATAAGTCACTAGAGTCTTGCATCACACTCGAAACTGGCAGGAAGAGAGTGCATGCTACAGAGGGCAGGCCAGCTACCTAATTCAAAGCTCTGGATAACACAGTCAGGGTTCATATTATAGTTCTACCACTTGCTGAGTTTCTTGGGGCCTGCCTGTTAGGCTCTAAGCCATAGTCTCCTCATTTTTAAACAGGAATGATAGCAGTATCAACTGAGCATCATTTTGAGGCTTATATGAGAGGACTAGAGAGACTATATGATAGCATAGAGGACTGCAGCTTGGCTTTCAGTCAATTAAGTACACAGAGATTAGTGGAACAGAGTGCAGGCTTTGGGTCAAGAAAGAATTAAATGTGAGGGCCAGGGGTTTAGCTCAGCGGCACAAGTGTCGCTGGCAAGTGCAAGGTCATGAGTTCGATTCCCCAGTACCAAAAAAAAAAAAAAAAAAAAGTAGATGTGAATGCCTGCTCTACCACCTGGGTTGAGAGGACTTGGGACACTTAGTGACAGTTTCTGAAACTTAGTGCTTCATCTAAAAATGGGGCTTACAATGTATTTACTTCTTAGAGACAATCATTGATTTATTCATTCAGCAAGAGATATGGTTTTCTACCTCCTATAATTTAGATTATAGAAGAGGATAAACTAAGTAAGCTAATGTCATCCTGTGGTACATAGTATCAAGAAAAAAAATAAAACTGAGGTTGTGTGAGAGTTTCAGTAATGATATGATTTAGAGGAAAGGTTTGAATAGGAGTTGTGTGACGCTGGGGGAGGATTGAAATACAAAAGAGAGTATGGCATATACACAGGTTGTGAGCTAGATTCATTCAAAATACTGAAATCAAGCCTGTTCCGTTGTAGTACAGCAGGAACAATGTGATTTTAGAAGTCAGAGAAAGAGGTAAGTGCCCAAGGTTGCATGAGCCTGGAGGCTAGGCTAGGGATTCAAGACTAGAGGGGAAAGAGAGTCATTCTACTTCAAGATTAAACGTACAATAACAATTGGTGAATTGGAATTAGGCTCACGTGGTAGCAGAAGGTCCTCAACAGGAGGTTGCTGCTGTGGTCCTGACCTCAGCTGATGGTAATCAGAACCAAGATGGTGGCTCTGCAGGTGATTATAGGCTCAAGGGAGAATCTACAGGATGCAGTGATGAACTACATGAGGAGGGTGATGAATAAAAAGAAAATCACAATGACTGATTTCCAGGTGTCCAGTGAACTCTTCTGTATGTTCAGGAACCACTTATAAGGGAAAACTTGAAGACAGACAGATGGATGGGATGGGGGAGAAGGTCCCCAGTGTTATTTAGCCTTGGTGAGATGCTTTGAAGACAGTGCAGAAAAGACATAAAGTAGGCAACTGCATACCCCAGTACCCTTTGGGATGGGCCAAGAGAAGGGTTGATAATCATGGAACATCATGTTTATACAATGTTGTAGCCCTGGGAATCAGTGCAGGCATATACATTCATTCAGAAGGGTGGGAAGTCCAATCCTTTTTTTTCAAATAATTACATATTTTCCTCTGAACTGCTCCTGTTACTTTTGTGCAAACAAAAACTGGCTGGTCTCATACAAAATAATTTTGCCACTCATGCAGAATTATTCAATACATCTTTTAGGAAAAGTATGGAACACACTTGAAAGTTGGGAAAAATCTGTTTCCAATTCATTAACGTTACCACAGGTTTTTGGGGGGCAAGAGACTGCCTTTTATAACCAAATAAAAAGGACTGACTTCGAAACAGAAAAAGGGCAGGGGGCTGTATTCTCAAGTGCAAACTAGGGAGTTAGAGGGCAGCAAAAGCCAATTTGGCTGAAGGATTAGGCCAAAACTTTTTTCTTCTTTTGTAAATAAAACGTGCGGTATATATCCAAAGCAGAGACCCCAAGAGTCTGCCAACTAGAGATGCTGGCAAGTGCAACTGAATCAAAAGGTTATGTGCTCTCAGGAAATTATAAGGGCATTTTACAAAAAACAGCTCCTTCACACTCCAGGAAGAAACATCAGCTCCTATCCTTACAGTCACCGGGCACCCTACTTATCTCCAAATGAAACTTTCAGCCTTGCGTGCATAAAGGGCAGGATCCAATAGATTCATTTTAATACGGCTGTAGGCCTAAGTCTCTTGAGCCTCTAGCCTGAGGGATCGTGGAGTCTTGGTTTGGAACATGTTCTACTGAGAACTTCTCTGCCAGGGGCTGCTATAGTAGCAGTCTTGGCACTGGTTAAACTCGATGAGGTTGTATTCTCCACGTCTCTGACCACCAACATGCCCTCTTCTAAAAAGCCCAGGCAAAATACAGTCTATGTACTATGACTAACTTACTCCTGAATTTTTGTGGGTGGTTTGTGGTGACTTATGAGATATGAGCGAGTTGCCCATATGCTAGAAACTGGCGTTAAGTGAATAAAAATATACCCAGTCTGGCAAAGAGATGAGTATGTATCCCACAGAGGTATTATGAAGCATGCTGCCTAACTATAAATACTGAGTAATGACCACAGCACCTGCAACAATATATGGCAATTAAAGTAGTCGTAAAAGTCATGGCATATATTTTTTTAACCATAACCTTAGGGGGGAGAGAGGGAGAGAGACAGGGAAGGGAAAGGAAAGGAAGATTTCTCTTTATTTAAATTCAGGACTTGCTTTAGAACTTTATAATGTTTTTCAATAAATTCAAACATTTTTCCTAAAAACTGTTGTTTCTTTCCTGGGCACCTTTTGAAATTTTCCTTTTTGTTAAAGATTGTCAAGCATACAAACAATAAAAAAAATCTGGAAAATATTGTTGGAAGAAAGTGAAAGGGGCTAATAGATCTCTCAGACTGTAGCATATGATGCAGAAGGGAAATCTGTGTGCTTGCACAGTCTGCGTTGACTGAAGATTGAAAACTAAAAATTAGCATCTTTATTAGGAAAAAATAGATCCTTATGAAAGGCAAACTTTGATCAATTGAGAAGTCCATCTGGAGGGGAAATTTTATTCCAATTCATGCTAGAATGTTACTTTCAACCATCAACAATCTTACAGATCACTAATTTTAATTAATTAGATGACATATCACACAAATACCTACTCTTACAAAAATGCACGGTTTTGAGACTTCTTAAACTTGAAAATAAGTTATAATTTTCATAGGAGAACTGCTACATCTTCTAATTCTCTTTATGGAAGCAAAAAATATAATAATCTATAACCCATCACAGCTGTTTGGCTGCAATTATCAATTACCTTCAATGCCTTTGAGATACTTTCCAGATTTTTAAAAGTCTGCATAGTAATTTTTAAACCAATTTTCTTTAAAAGTACTGATAAGATTTAAAACCTTTTAGGTATATGATGACGTATTGCACTTAAACAATTTGAATATAAAATCAAGGCTTTGCATAACTGAAGGAAAATGGAGGCAGGAATTAAAAATAAAACACAACCCAAAAAGCTGAATATTTTTAAAAGCATTAATATTGAACATTGAAATATGCTTTTTGCTTGCATTTGAACATGGGTGTGGCAGACTTATGAGAATTAGTCAAACAAATAACAAAGTCTAGTAACAAGAAGGATAGTTGCCGTCTCTCCTAGTCCTCAATTTTGATTGCTCCTGTAGCCCATGCACTTGGAAAGGCATTGCTGTATTTCAGACAGTTGCATGGCAGATAATTGTGTGTCTTCCCGGTACCTCTGTAGGCAAAGTAAATAAAGGGGTTTAGAAAAGTGTCAGTACTTTAAATAATTAGATTACATGGAATCGATAGGAAATGCTCAGGAAGTTAATAAAGCAATTACTTAAGGGGAGAGAGTGGTGGCATGGGGTAGGGAGCTTGAAAGACTAACAGTGCACATTACCCCTAATGTGGATAAATAATTAAGAGCTGGCTATAAAGTCATCAGTACAGCTCCACACCTGCTTGCTCCCACGGATGGCCCCACACATTACCATTAATTTTCTTTCTCCGATTTACTGTATTTTTGCTCATGCATCATAATTATTTTTAATTGTACACATTTTTATAGGGCACAATGTGGTAATTCCATACATGCATGAAATGTATAATGATCAGATCAGGGCAGTAAGCAATTTCATCTCTTTAAACACTTCTGTAAAAAAACTGTTTGGTTAACACATCGTAACTGCTGCTTCTTCTTTATGCAGAGGAATGTGCCTCCCTGATTCTCACCTGTCTCTTCTGCCAATTTTGGGACTGTCTCCTAATGCTCCCCGACACCTGTGAAACCATGTGTATCAACCTGTGCTGCCCCTCTCACAGGTATCACCACACCTCAGATGAGAGCTACTCACGCAGTGACTGCAGCTGCAACTGTGATGTGGACTGCAGCCTTTTTGAATCATGCCATGAGACCAGTGAATGCCTGGAGCTGGCCATGGAGATTTCAGAAATCTGTTACCGTTAGCATGATGAAGGAACCATGCCCCGGCAGTCCTTTTGGCCACAGTGGGAAATGCTACAAGAAGACAGAGATTTCCATGTGCCAGAATGCAAGGATGTACACATTTCTTGGATGCTCCAGGCCATTTTATTCTCCACCTGTCTGGGAAAGTTAGTATTGTCAATTCAATGATCTCAATCCAAATTTCACAACAGCATGGCTCAGTGAAAAATAAAATTCTTTATCACACATGATGAATAAATCTAAAATACCTCTTAAATGCCATAGGTACAAGATGTTTCTTGATTATAAAACAGCATGCTAAACCATTCCGTATTCTTGAATTCATCAGCTTGCGTCATGGATTCAACCTCATTCACAAATTCAGGTCAAATTAATGCTTTGTTTTAGAATTGACATACATTATCTCATCTTTCTAATGGACTCATGCATAAACATTATGCATTGTTGGTTATTATTAATAATGCATCATATAACATCATTTCATAATTAAAAATTTATTTATACAGTCTCTTAAAATTCACTTATATGTACAGTTTGGGTAGGAAAGGGAATTAAATGAATTAGAAACCATGTTCTTGTAATTACAACAGATGTCTCTAAAATATCTCCAGTGAATTTTGAATCTGGTATACTTCAAGAGATTACTATAATTTTAAACTGTATTATTATATGTCTATGACTATGTCGTAACAGGTTACACATATTCTTAATCTCTTAGAGAAAGGTTCTTTATTCTAATAAGCATAAATGGAAATAATGTGCAGGTTCCAAGAAAATAATCTCTGACAATTCGTTTTCCTCATTTGTATTTGTCAAGTACATTAAGCAACAGGATATCAAAACAGAATCAGTTCACTTTACTAAACAATTATATGTGTACACATCTAAAATGAATACACATTCAGTTACTTATTAATTTCAAATTTTTAAAAATAGCATGTTCATCAGAAAACATTTTTTTCTTTTTCCAGTTAAAAAGTAATAATTGCATTAAACACTTCTTTGTACCTATATCTTTTTAAAAATACGCAGTATGGGGGGGCTGGGGATTTAGCTCAGCGGCTTAAGCACCTGCCTTGTGAGCAGGCGGTCATGAGTTCGATACCCGGTACCAGTAAAAAAAAAAAACAAAAAAAAAAAAAACAAAAAAAAACAAAAACAAAAAACGCAGTATGAGCTGTAAAATGATTTTCAATTCAAATAAAACAGTTCACAAGGAAACATATCTAGGTTGTAGCTACTTTGGAATTTTATTTTCTGTAGGCATGATTCTATAGCTATATGGGAAATAAATTGCTCAATAATTTGTGTTTGTATCTTCCCATGAAGATAACTCAATATATTCATTAAGTATAAAAATGAGAATCTAAAAATAACCAAACCAAGAACAGAAAAGTAGAAGGAAGAATTGAGACAGATTTTCTGGGTGTGTGACTTAGGCAAAATAGTAACAGCCAACTCCAAAATACCTGTTTTTTCCTACCTTGAGTAATTTCAGACCAAAACATGTGTTTTATTCTGTAGTAAACTTGGACATTCTTTTAAACTGTAAGAAATTCCCCTAACATTGAAAGCTCTTGATCTTTACATTTTTAACACTGCCTCTAGCAGGTATTTAGCTGCTCCTGATTTGCTACTGACAGCCCAGTGCAACCATGGGTCAGCTTGTTCCTTTTTGACTATCACGTTCACATACCAGAAAGCATGAGAGTGCCTCCCAACACTTCTGAAACACTGCATCTTCGCTGCCTTTTGGATGCTCAAGCTCTATAGTTCATGCATAGAATTTACAGATTTAAAAAAAAAAAATCCGTTGAACCGGAAGTAAACTAAGGCCATTCTTATCCAGGCCTTTCCTACTTCACAAAAGGAAAAGGAGGCTTCAGACAACAACCTGCTTAAGATGACATATAGAGGTAACAGCAATGTCAGGATCCTAACTTGCAATTTGCTTTCCTACCTCATAGTTCTACTTCACAATCAAGCTTGTAATCAATAGTACAGCTGTTGCAATTGTTAAAATACTATACTAAAATACAACCAGACTGGTTCATAAACAGTGACAACTCTGAACCTCTTTTGTATTTCCTCCCCATCCTCAGATGACCCTGGCCTGTCTCCAAGTACCATTCTTCCCTCTAATCTAGCCACTAAAGAAGAACTGAGGGTCCCTGAGACCCGGTCCCAAAAATATAGTACCTGGTGTCATTGATCTGGCCAGGCCATATGAGTAGTAAATATTTTGATCATCAGTTCCTTATTCTTTGTAATCTATATATGCTATCAAATTAAGCAAAAATTGTGCGTTTCAAATTTGAATTGAATGCTTGTCAATTACAGACATAAAAATTACCAAGTCTTATTTCATAATGTGATCAGAATACTCCAAGATCTTTCTGTGGCCTTGTTTTCCACGGTTTGTTAACTTGCTCCTCACTTTAAGAATTCATCATGCTATAACAGAAAGGGTCGGTTATATAAAGTGTGAAATTTCTTTTCTTTATAACCAATAATAAAACATCATCCTTTTTGCAAACATGAATGGCTGTTTCAATTGAATTCTTTTATAATAAAACATACACAGCTGGGAACATACAATTTCAGGGGAAAGACAGATCAATAAAAAGATGTGGCTATTGATTAAATACAAATATCAGGATCTGAGAAGGCTCAGGTATTTTACGCTGTGATGAAGCCCCATGATTACAAATAAAGATAATGTTATACTTTAAGGTGGGCCTACTTATGAATGGAGCATTCTGACTTTTAAGGAATCACGCTAGAATAAAATATTTGAGAACATACAAACTTTATAGAGACCAGAGGACAGAAATTTTTCTACACAGCCGTATACACATATAGTTACACTGTCTTTGCTCAATGGATTTTTATTGAAACCACTTTATCTATAAAAGCCTACAAAATATGGAAAGCAATGAAGAAGCAAAGTTACACTTAACTTGCTAATGAAATCTGCCCACTGTATGAGCTGATAGGCTTATCAAATTAACTAACAATGCTGGACAATCAAAGTTAATAGAGCTTGGAAGTCACTGCAGTTTTTTTCAAAGGAATAAGAACATATATTCACACAAGAAACTTTACAAATAGGAAGCATCATGTGAGAGCATTTCAGCATTCTTCGTCAAGGATAAATGTGTATGTGGCAAATGGCTGAAGGACAGATTTTATTGCCCAGTACAGTGTTTCACCCTATAAAATGGAGGAAAAGAATAATGTACTGTGATAGTCAGCTTCCTGTCTATAGTTTATGGCAAATACGTAAGATAGTCCACTTTTAAAAGAAAGAAACAATTATCTTGGCTCACAGCTCTGGAGGTTTGCATTCCATGATCTGTTGGCCCCATTGCTTTGTGACTTGTGAGAAGGCAATGCATCGTGGCAGAGCATATGGTGATATAAAATGACCTCGTAGACAGAAACTGAAGAAAGGAGAAGGAATTAGAGTCCCACAATCTCTTGCAAGTGCATATCCTCAGTAAGAAGACCTCCCTCTAGGCCCTGCCTCTTTAAAGCACCATAACCTCCCAACAGAACCATACTGGCACTGAGCCTTTAAATATGTGCCTTTTGAGGATGTTCAATATCCAAAGAAATGCAATGCACACTTAAGTAAGGTATTCTGACTATGAATTTTTGCTCATCAACTGCTAAATCTCCTCAGGTCATAGTAATTAATGACTTCAGATTAAAATGTAAACACTTGGTTTAATTGCTGAATTTTCTCTAAACAGGAGATCTGGGTAAAAGCCATACACTACCATATGTAGTTTCATGTATGCTGTGGAAAGGCCAGGCAATACAGAATTGGGTGATTTTCTAGGAAATATAAACAGTAGGGGACTAGAATGGTTATTATTGGGCTCCTTAAAAATGTCTAGACAGCTTCTCACAGTGCAGGGAAGGAGTCCATGATGGGAGCTGAAGGAGAAATGGAATCTGCATCATTATTTGGATAAAAGTGCCACCTTCTGGACTACCATCTTAATATGCTATACCGTTCTACTTTTGCTGCTACTAACTCAGTGTTCTCAGCTGATCTGGGCTCCTTTTCCCATTTTGCAAAGTCTGGAAATGTAATTGGTTATCATAATTAAGAGGAGATGGTTGCAACTAAATAGAAGCCAGAAATGTTGCTCAGTACTCTGTCATGAACAAAGATAACACTCCATAATAAAGAAATATTCAAGTATCAATAATGTAAGGTTGAAAGACCCAATTCAAAATCTTTTCATCACTAAATTTGCCTTTAAAACTGCTGAAAACAAAGTGGTTAGATAAAATACAGGCTTCTCAGTTAAACTTGAATTTCAGAAAAACAACAAATAAAATTTAATATGTGATGTGATTGGCAAATTTGTATATGTTTAAGTTTCTTAAAAAATTCATTACACTAAAATATATATTTTCATTAATGCTCCATAAAATCCTCTCTCTTGCTTTAAACACACTTGTCCAGTCATTTCTGCCACTTTCTGAAGCAGAAATGAAGAATTTCTGCAAGTTGTCTCTCTTGGGTTCAGCTGCATTGACATGGCTGCCTCTGTATCTTGAATTAATTCAAATATTTATTGTTCATGATCATTTTGACTCTGTGGAAGATCCAGAAGTCATCACAAGGTTCTAGATCCTTTGGATAAGGTCGATGAGAACACGCAGTGATGTTTTTATGACGCTGGCTTTCTGTTGGATGGCATTGCACAGCAGCATTCACTGAATTTTGGTCTAAAGATAAGCTCTGGAGCATTTTCCTTTCTGCCCCAGCTCACATTGGGTTATTGTCTTGGGCTAGGGCAGGTAAATTTCTGTCTTTGCTTCACATCTCCATCAACACCTAAGGTCTTCTACCAAAGATTATCTTGACTCAAGAGGTAGCAAGTTGGAGGAATTTGGATCTTAAATGTCTCCTAATGACCTATGTGTTAAAAGCTTGTTTCCAACTTGCACTCAGGAGAGGTAGTGGAATCTAAGAAATGGAGCCTAGTGAGAGGTCTTTTGGTTATTAGGCATGTGCCCTCAAAAGGGACAGTGATACCCTGGTTGGTTCCTCTCTCATTTATGTTCTGCCATAAGCAGAACAATTTTATTCTGCAATATAATCCCATAGGCTTTATGGGCCAACCATATGGCCCTATAATCTAAAACCATATGGACTGGAATCTAAAAAACTGTGAGTCAAAAATAAAACTTTTTATAATTTGATTATTTGGGTATTTATTATTGTTATTAGACCTGACTAGCGCAGAAACAGAAATTCTCAAATTAAATGCTATAGTCTAAATACAGCTTTGTAACTGGATCATCATTCAGAAAGATCCATATTAAAGGTCTTTGCATAGCCATGAGAGAATATTTTCTTCTATGCAGCTATTTATCTTTCCATATATTTCTGTCAAGAGGTACAAGTGGGAGGGTGAGTTTGAGGCACTTCTTGATCAGGGATTGCAATACCATCTAATAACATCCATTACCATTCCCTCTTTGCATATAGTTAGGAGCAAGCCTGAGGGGCTCACATGTTCCCCTTATTTTTATTTATTTTATAGTTGTGAAAAGTTTTCACGTAAAATACTTAATGTACTTGTAGATATTATTATACACTCTCACTACCTCTGTGAAATGGATTCTATTATTATCTCTATTTTTCTTGAGTACACAAAATTAGCAATTTGCATATGGTCACATAGCAAATAAGCAACTGTCACATGGTTTGAAGCCAGGATGGTTAATTCCAAAGTCCACACTTATAATTACTTAGCCTAAAAGTTATATCTGTGAAAAAGGAATCAAATGAATGTAAAGTTCAAGTATTCACTTTGAAAGCAATCAGAAAATTATGACTATATAGTCAAAGAAAAAGCATTTGCTGATGGTAAATGTTGTAAAAGTTGTGATCTTATGCAATGACTAGAATTTGAAACATCTTCAAAATGCTTTTAAGATATGTACCCAATAAGTAATAAATGCAAAATCAATGTATTGCAATTTAATCCTTATGTTAGTAACTTTGCCTCATTCATCTATGGTTACAAAGACTTACCTTTTAGCGTTCCATTTTAGCAGGGCAACTTTGAACTCTGCTTGAAGAGAATCCATTGCATGTGCCCAGCATACAGTCTAGCTCCTCATCAGCATTCCAGCAGGGGGTACAAGGAGCATGAATGGTTTTTAATCAGTCAACAACACTACCGTCAACCAAATGTATTTGAATACTTAGACCTTTTATCTCAAAAGCTGTGCAGAATTCAAGGTCATGGTAACCTCTTTTATGGTTTATTATTCCTCAAATGTACTTAGAGTGAATTTACAAAGCCACAACTTATTTTGTGGATGCAAAGCTTTCATTAGGTTCAGCTCTCTCTGACATCCTCTTTGTTCCCTCTTTCAGCACTTTCTGCCTCTGGTTCCTCACTTAATAGCAAGTTCCCGTAATTTTTTTTAAAAAACAAAATAAATTAATAATATTGAGCCACATTCAGTAGCTGAGCGACTCATCATTTGTCATTTAGTCTCTTCAGAAAGCAGCATTAAGATTCCGAATGGCTGTACAGCTCTGCAATGCAAGTCACAGGTTCCTGCAACGGGCAGGAAGGCAAGAAGCCAGCAAGGTGCCTGGGTCACCACTCTGCCATCCTTGCCATCCATGATTGCTGATGTGGGTACAGTTGTAACTCACTGAGCTCATAAACTGAGTTTGTGGGACAATCTAGTTTGTACAGCTAAAAGGTGAGATTGAGATTCTGTTCTAATATTACAGAAGGGCCCCAAATGAGACACATAGAGTCCATTTAGTTATCTCAGCTCATGTGCATTTATTATGAATAGTAACATGTATAAATTCATATCTTTGGTGCATTAATTCCAATTGTATAATGTCTTAGAAAGATATTAGATATAAGTTTGAGTATAAAGTATCTATGTAGCACCAAAAGCCATTTTATTCTGTAGAACTAGTGTTTGCCTAATATTTGGGGAAAATTTAGGTTAAATCAAAGCAAGAGGATAAGCAATCGAATGACCAGTTAGGAGGCTACTGCCCACCTCTACCTGAGACCTAGTAGGTGTCTGGACTAAGATGACGTGAAGTGAGTTTGCAACTTGTTTAAGAGCAGATGAAAAGCCAATGAGGGATGACGTGGGATTCTGTGATTAAAGTGATAGAACAAGAAG